TGTGTGTGTGTGTGTGTGTGTGTGTGTGTGTGTGTGTGTGTGTGTGTTAAAATATCCACAGCACAAAGTTTTTTTTATCAAAGTGGTTTTAAAATATGCCCAATTATATGTTTTTAATTTCTTTTTCAAAGAAATCCAATGTTGGGACATAGTAAAACTTTGATGATGCAACTGTGCCAGAGTTCTAGCTTTAAGAAATCCTGATATTTTATGTCCAGCGTCACAACTGTGAACTTTTGGTTCTGGGTGATAGATTCTGACATATCACTAAGATATACGACTTGAGCAAACCACGTGCGTTTGGAAGAATGCTCTTTATCGGCACCATCAGTCACGAAGTGTCATCCCGCATTTCAAAATCTCACGTAATGAAAAGGAAAAAGTAAAACTATCTTAATTTCCAGACGACATGGTCTTACATATTAAAAGAAACCCTAAAGAATTTAGAAAAACAAAAAACCCCACCACAATAACAACAAAAAACAAACAAAAAAAACACCCCAACCCTGATTAGAGCTAATAAATAAGTTCAGTAAAGTTGAAGGATATAAGATCAACATAAAAAATCAGCTTCATTTCTATGTACTAGCAGTGAACAATCTGAAAGTGAAATTAAGAAGACAATTTCATTTATAATACCATCAAAAAGAATAAAATACTTAGGAATAAATTGAACCAGAGAAGTGCAAGACTTGTATACTATGAAACACTTCTGAAAGAAATTAAAGAAGGTTTAAATAAATCTAAAGACATCCGTGTTCACTGTCTGGAAAATTTAAGATCTGCCATCTGTTAAGATGGCAATATTTGCTGAACTGACCTACAGATTCACTGAAATCCCTATTAATACTGCTTTTTTTTTTTCCAGAAATGGACAAGCGAATCCTAAATTTCATATAGAATTGCAAGGGACCAAGAATAACCAGTACAATCTTGAAAAGACAAGAGTAAAGTTGAAGGACTCATTTACCAATTTCAAAACTTACTACAAAGCTATAGTAATCAAGACAGTGTGGTATTAGTATAAGGACAGCCATAGATCAATGGGATAGAATTGAGAGTCCAGAAATAAACCCATATGTTTATGGTCAATCAATTTTTGAGAAGGGTGCCAAGACCATTAAATGGGGAAAGAATAGCTTTTTCAACAAAGGATGCTGGGACAACTCAATATCCACATGCAAAAGAATGAATTTGAACCCTTACTTCATACCATATACAAAACTTAACTCAAAATAGATCAAAGACCTAAATGTAAGAGCTAAAACTATAGAAATTTAGAAGTAAACATATGTGAAAGTCTGTGTGACCTTGGATTAGGCAGTAGATTTTTAGAAATGATAACAAAAGCACAAGCAGTCAAGGAGAAGAAACCAGATAAACTGGACTTTATCAAAAATAAAATTTTTGTGGGCTTCCCTGGTGGCGCAGTGGTTGAGAGTCCGCCTGCCGATGCAGGGGATGCGGGTTCGTGCCCCGGTCCGGGAAGATCCCACATGCCGTGGAGCGGCTGGGCCCGTGAGCCATGGCCGCTGAGCCTGCGCGTCCGGAGCCTGTGCTCCGCAACGGGAGAGGCCACAACAGTGAGAGGCCCGTGTACCACACACACACACACACACACACACACACACACACACACAAACTTTTGTGAATCAGAGAATTCCCTGGCGGTCCAGTGGTTAGGACTCTACACTTTCACTGCTGAGGGTGCATGTTCAACCCCTGGTCAGGGAACTGCAAGCCATGTGGTATAGCCAATAAATAAATAAATAAATAAAACTAAGCCAAGAATAAAAAATAAAATAAAATAAAACTTTTGTGGGTCAAAGAACACTAACAAGAAAGTGAAAATACAACCCACAGAATGGGAGAAAATATTTGCAAATCATATATCTGATAAGGGGGCTAGTGTCCAGAGTATATAAAGGATTCTTACAACTCAACAAGAAAAAGACAACCCAGTTAAAAAATGGGCAAATGGTTTGAATAGATATTTCTCCAAAGAAGATATACAAATGGCCAAAAATCACATGAAAAGATGTTTTTAACTTCTTTAGTTACTAGGGGAATGTAAATCAGAACCACAAGGAGATGCTACTTCACATCCCCTGGGACAGTTGTAACAACAACAACGACAACGACAAGTGTGGGCGGGCACGTAGAAAAAGTGGAATCTTCATACATCGCGGCTGGGAATGTAAAACGTTTCGGCTGCTGTGGAAAGCTGTTTCGCAGTTTCGCAAAAGGTAAAACATAAAATTACCACAGGACTCAGCAATTTCATTCCTGGGAGAACTGAAAACATACGTTCACACGCAAGCTCGTACATGAATGTTCATGGGAGCATTATTCAAAATAGCCAAAAAACAGAGACAACCCAATGTCCATCAACTGATGAATAGATAAACAAAGTGGGGTCTATCCATGCAGTGGAATATTACTCAGCCGTGAAGAGGAGTGAAGTACTATTACGTGCTATGACACGGATGAACCTCGAAAGCATGGTGCCAAGTGAAACAAGCCAGTCACAAAAGGCCACAGAGTGTATGATGCCATTTATATGAAATGTCTAGAACAGGTAAAGCCATAGAGACAGAAAGTAGATTAGCAGTTGCCAGGGGTTGGGGGAGGCTGGGAATCTGGATTAACGGCTAACAGGTATGGGGTTTCTTTCTGGGGTGATAAGAATGTTCTGGAAGTAGATAGTGGTGCTGGTTGCACGACATAGTGAATATACTAAAAGTCACTAAGTGTACACTTTTAAATGGTGAATTATTATTTTTTAAATAAATTTATTTATTTATTTTGGGCTGCATTGGGTCATCGATGCTGCACGCGGGCTTTCTCTAGTTGCAGTGAGCGGGGGCTACTCTTCGTTGAGGTGCGCGGGCTTCTCATTGCAGTGGCTTCTCTTGTTGAAGAGCACGGGCTCTAGTCTTGTGGGCTTCAGTAGTTGCGGCACGCGGGCTCAGTAGTTGTGCCCTGCGGGCTCTAGAGCGCAGGCTCAGTAGTTGTGGCACATGGGCTTAGTTGCTCCGCGGCACGTGGGATCTTCCTGGGCCAGGGCTCAAACCCGTGTCCCCTGCATTGGCAGGCGGATTCTTAACCACTGGGCCACCAGGGAAGCCCTAAAATGGGGAATTTTATGTTATGTGAATTATATCTCAATAAAATGCTAAAACAAAACAAGACTCATGTGAACTACTTTGCCCTCCAGCATCCGTGTACTTCCTAGGGGTTGCAGGTAGGAAGCGTTCTTGTACTTGCTGCCTATTTCTGTGACCACGTTGAAAAGAATGTGTCCTTAGTGACTGCTGTTTGACTCATGGTGAAAATGTTTTCTATTTCCTTCAACACTGAATTGGGTTCAGGACACGTATTGAGGGCTGTCAGTGGTTCTCCGTGAATTAAACAGTGTTGGAACTGGAATTCATATGATGATAATGATAATAGCTCACCTTCACTGAGTGCTTTCTATTCAGTATATGCCAGACATTGCCCTAAATGCTTTATAGGTAGTTCTTCACTAATCTTTACCACAGCTGTATGAAACAGGCATTGCTATTACTGTTATCAACATCATTCCCAATTTTCAGAGGGAAAAACTGAGGCTCAGAGTTAGACAACCTCCTTTATTAGAATTTAGACCTCCTGCCTTCTTGCTGCCAAAGCCAGTGCTTCATCTGTCCTGATTCCAGTGTGTCTTTTTCATTTACCAAATAATCTCTAATAAGACAAAGTATTTTTCTCTTGCAGTAGAGAATTTTAGAGATAAGCGGAACAGAAACTCATTGACTACTTTGCCATCATATGTGCTCCCCCTTCTGAAAGCCATTGCACCGTCTGGATATGAGGATTTTCACCAGCCACAAAGAGAACTGAATGCTGACATCCGTACCCGATGATGATTGATCTTGAACCTAGTTTGCCACTGTTCTCTGACATCCAGCAGTGGCGATAAAACTGCTTCCTAAGTATCTATGTCACTAACTTCACAACCGGTTTGTCTGTCTTCTCTGTTGTGTGTCTTGTACTCGTGTTTGCTCTGAAGAGTGAGGGCAACTTGGAGTGATGTGCTACATTCCTGGGGCCTTTCTCTATCACAAACTTAAATTTTTATTCTGGGAAATGCTATATTGAAGTTATTCTGGAAAAAATCAGTAGGCTCTAACTATGAGCGATACACAAGCTTTAATGACTTTGAACCTCGATTTGACGTTTTAGAGCTGATAATGCCCTGGGGACAGGGGTGAATGAATAGTCAATAAAATCCAGTTTCCAGAGAATGTTTGTGGTAGTTCCTATTTGCAGTTTCTTTTTTCTTACTGTGCAAAATCATCACTCACATTTTCCTTCATCCCAGCACCTTTAGACATATTATATCCCCACTGAAACCCAGTTCACAGTTTATGAATGGCATTGTTCTGAGTTGTCAGGTCCCTATTACCACCTTAATTGCTACATTTACACATCAAGGAAGCACTTTTGAGCCATTCATGAGTTTTTTTAATTTGGGGGTATAACATAGCACAACAGTATGAACATATAAAGCACATTTTAAAAGGTAAACAAAAACATGGATATGACAGGAAAATGATTCACCAGAGTCCCCTGTCCCCATTAATTAAATCTTTAAGAATCTGAAATCTTTAGGATTGTAATAATTATTAATATAATGAGACACTGTGACAGCTGTAATCAATGCCACATTTCGAATCTGTGAAAAGTGGGGAACTAAGGTGCTTATTACTTTTTTCCCTGAAACTACCAGTCTACCTGAGAGCCCAGTGATACAACTTTTCTTGGAAACATTTCAAGCCTCCAAGAGTTGTTGTTTTTTTACAAAAATAAATTTATTTATTTATTTTGGGCTGCGTTGGGTCTTTGTTGCTGCGCGTGGGCTTTCTCTAGTTGCAGCGAGCGGGGGCTACTCTTCGTGGCGGTGCTCGGGCTTCTCAGTGCGGTGGCTTCTTTTGTTGCGGAGCACAGGCTCTAGGCACGTGGGCTTCAGTAGTTGTGGCGCGCGGGCTCAGTAGTTGTGCCTCGTGGGCTCTAGAGCGCAGGCTCAGTAGTCGTGGCGCACAGGCTTAGTTGCTCCGCCACATGTGGGATCTTCCCGGACCAGGGCTCGAACCCGTGTCCCCTGCACTGGTAGGCGTTTCTTAACCACTGCGCCACCAGGGAAGTCCTCCAAGAGTTTTTGTTTTTGTTTTTGTTTGGTTTTTTTTTCGGCTGCGCCACACCAGATGCGGGATCTTGGTTCCTGGATCAGGGATCGAGCACGCGCTCCCTGCAGTGGAAGCACGGAGTCTTAACCACTGGACTGCCAGGGAAGTCCCTCAGTGCTCCAAGAGACTTTAAATTCCTAAGAGATGGGATGCGGGAGAAGAAGTGTGGACAGAGGCCAGCCGAGGTGCTGAGGGTAGGCTCGGAGCAGGGACTCGGAATCCTGCATTTCTCCCCTGGCCTGGGAATCCTAGGCAACAATTCTATCCCACCGCCAGGCGGCGCTGTAGAACCAAGGATGGCAGCCCTGGACCTGCGGGGCTGCTTTAGTTATTCCCCAGGCATTCTTGACCGCTAACACTTTGCTTTGTTTTTCTCCCTTATATTCAGGTTCTTAACCTGGTGACTCTGGTCAGGCTTCTGATGGTCAGTGAACACCTAGAATTTATGTGTAAAATATGTGTTTAGCTTCATTTTTCTATCTAGAGGGAGGTTTTATAGTTTTGATCAGACTCAAGGTAACAGTATCCCCTTGAGAGAGTAGAATGCAATGACGTTAGGCACTAATACGCTGACATCTATCGGTGGCGAGCACTTGTTATATATAATTTAACACAATAATCCTCAAAATTACCTTGCAAGATATCCCCAGTTTACAGAAAATAAAACCCCAAAACCCCTGAAGTTCACACAGCTAATGACACACAGCTAATAAGTGATGAGGCTGGGATTTAACTCCAAGAACGCCTGCTTCTCCCTGTGCTGTTGCTACACCGAGAAAAAAAGCCAGAAACTCACTCGTTCATCAGCAAAGATGTAGGAGGGACTGAGTGTGTGTCCAGCACCCTGTACTGGGTGCTGGGGTAGAGGGGGATCCGGACAGCTCTGCTTCCTGCCTTCTTGGGGCTTAGTGCCTGGAGGTGATGGCAGCAATGGTGGCCATGTCAGCAGGAAACAGGCAGTAAACAAATAAGTCTGTAATTGCAAACTGAGAAAAGTGCTCTGAAGAAGTAAAGGGGACAGCGACATAGAAACATGGGGAAATCTACAGATAGTTTGGCCAGGGAAAACCTGAGCGTGTTAGCTCAGAGTAAAGGGTGGGGATTGCCAGGGGAAAAGGTGGAGACAGAGCCTTCCGGGGGGGACGAGCCTGGTGTGGGTACGCAGAGGCAGCTGGTGCGGCTGAACAGGGGGACCCAGAGCAGAGGTGAGGGTGACAGAGGAGTAGAAGTCATCGGGGCTTTCTACACCAAGTAAGGAATTCAGATCCTATTCTCATAACAGGAAGCCATTCTAGGGTTTAAAGCAGGAGAGAAATGCCAGCTAATTTATGTTTTTCTTATTTTTAATTGTAAAAGAACCCCAACACAATGCCAAATTTACCATCTTAACCATTTTTTTAGGTTTACAGTTCAGTAGTGTTAAGTACATTCACATTGTTGTGCAATCAATTTCCAGAACTCTTTTCATTTTGTAAAACTAAAATTCTGTACCCATCAAACAACAACTTCCCATGTCCATCCCCCTGGCCCCGCATTCCCTGGCAACCACCGTTCCACTTCTCTCTGTCTCTGTGGATTTGACCACAGTAGGGACCTCATGGAAGTGGAATCGTATACTATATGTGTGTGACTGACTTACTTCACTTAACATAATGTCCTCAAGGTTCCTCTGTGTTGTAGCATGAATCAAAAGGCCCAGGATCAGAGGCCGTGGTGATGGATGGTTCCTCCCACGGGGCTGCTGCCTGGCAGAGCGAGAGCAGAGTCACGGGGACAGCAGGCATTGAGCCAGGAGCCGAGTCTTCAGGGAAGGAGGGGAAGTGGCCAAGAGGCCAGAGGACAACAGCAAGAAGGGACACCAGGAGGAAGGGGAACGGGAGCTAAAGCTGATCGCCCAGATTCTTCAAGGAGGTTTATACAGGAGGGGCAGGGGTGGTGATGGGACGACACTTCTAGAAGCAGCCATGAGGAACCAGGAGGATGCAAACCTCACTTACTGCCCCTCAGGTATGTAGGGAATGTGAGAATAAAATCATGGCTAGGTTTGGGGAAGACTTTTCTGACCCGGACAGGGTATGAAGCATGAAGACGGGCAGCGAAAGGAGCCCTAGGAGGCGTCTTTCCTTCTGGGAGAGGTTTGGGAGAAGAACTGACCCCTCCACCACCCTTCATTTCCTGTCTCCCCATTTTTGGGGGGCGGAGTCTTAATCACTGGACCACCAGGGAAGTCCCTCTCTCCATCTCCTTGAGGCCTGTTGGGACTGCCTGGCCTCTTTGGCGGAGAGGTTTCATTTATCTGTGGAGCTCCATGAAATGTAGACACTCACTCTTCTAGGCACTGGAGAGACAGCGGTGAATAAAACAGAGGAAAAGAAATCCCGGCCCCACAGAGCTGGCTTCCCAGCAGGGTGGGTTCTCCTGCAAAAGCATCCAGCAGGGTAACTTACTCACCGGTGCTGGAATCTGGATGTGGGCTGAGTTCCACCGTGAGTCACATGGGTTGCCTGCAGGAAGAGAGAGGGGAGATGACATTGAGAAAATGGAAAGAGCCCCAGGGCTTGGGGACCGAGGCCTGGGTCCCAGCAACCTTGAACGAGTCACACAACTATGGAGCCTGCGCTCTAGAGCCCGTGAACCACAACTACCGAGCCCATGTGCCACAACTACTGAAGCCCAAGCGCCTAGAGCCTGCGCACCGCAACGAAGAGTAGCCCCCGCTCTCGGAAACTAGAGAAAGCCCGCGCGCAACGAAGACCCAACGCAGCCAAAAATAAATATTTTTTAAAAAATTGTCATTACATCATGACTTAAGCCTTCATTTCTTTATCTGAGTATGGGTGCATAATGGCAACTGCCTCCCCCAGGGTGGCTGTGAGTATGAATTAAATGCATAAACTAAGCATAGAAGGCTTCCGGAGCTCCTCAGCTCAGAAGGTGGAGACGCGTAGGGGTGAGGAGGGCGGGGCCACGAGGCGGGGGCGGGGAGGGGGCGGGGCGCAGGGCGCTGGGAGGGGCAGCGGGGAGTCAGGGCGGCCGCCAGGGGGAGCCACAGGGCGGCGGGGGCGGTGGGGGTAGAGGGAGCGGGTCCCGGGGGAGGCGGGTGACTCACGGCGGCGGGAAGGAAGATGAGTCAGCCGTCCTCTGGCTTCCCGCGCCCGCCGCGCCCCGGCCGCCGCCCGCAGCTGACCCTCGGGAGGGCCCCAGAGGGCGCCACCCTGCCGCCGGCCGGGCCCGGGCTTCCCCAAAGCGGGGGCGCGCTGGGCCCTGCGCGCGGCGTTTTCTCCTTCGGGGCCGGGGCTTCGGGAGGAGACTTCGTGCGCGTCTGGGCCCGGGCGCGCCCAGGCTGATCCAAGGGCGGCGCGTGCCAGCTCGGGAGACGGCGGAGGCGCTGCCCGGGGGCCCGCGCTGGGCGGTGGCACTTCCTGCGGGCGGGGGGAAGGGGAGGGGCGTGGTTGCCTGGAGAACTGCTCCCAAAAAGGCGGCCGGGCCCTCCGGGATGCTCCGGGTGCCGGGTGGGCTGCGGGCGGCGCGGAGAAACTCGCCCTCACGCCAAAGCCACACGCAGAAAGCCGGCTCTGTACCTTGGCGTGCCGTCTGTTTTCGCCTCTTCCCAGACTAAGTCAGAAGGAAGAGGAACCCTAGTCCTGGCTGCAGGTTGACAGGTGCCCGGTGTCCAGAGAGGGTCTGGCTCAGCACCTCCGGGATCAAAGATGCCCGAGGCCTTGCGGAGCCTGGGCCCTGGCTTTGCGTGGGAGATCCGGCCCAGGCAGGAAGGTGATTTGTCCAAAGGCCTCAGAGAGGAGGCCGAGCTCCTGGGTCTGGACCTCCTGCTCACCAGGCCACGGAAAGTGCTTAAAATAGTTCCTGGCGCATAGTCAGTCATAATGTATAATAAATAATATGTGTATATATGTGTCTCATAGCTCATCTTCATGGGGCGCTTACTGCATGCCCGGTATTGTTGCAAGTGTTCTTCATGGATGAATTGTTTGATTCTCACCACCGCACTAAGATATAGATACTATTCGTATCACCATATGGCAGCTGAGGAAACATGCTCAGAGAAGTTAGGTAACCTGCCCAACATCACACAGCTAGGAAGTATAGTGTGGGAGTTAAACGCAGACCCCCTGACCTCAGAGGCCGTATGCATGAGGCTGACTTCAAATATTGTTGAGGTCCAGGTGTTGACACAGAAATTAACCAGTCGATCTAAGAAAGAAATGGGAAATTTTATTCACGCCAAACTGAGGGTTATAACCTGGGAACAGCCTCTCCGAAAGCCCTGAGAACTGTTTGGCCTGTTAGAGGTCAAAGCACAGTTACGTAAGTTTTGAGCGAGGGCTGTATATTAAATGACGTATTATTGACAGTTTACACAATCCAGATCCCCTCGTACAAAGTGTGGTCATGGGTCATTGTGGCCTCTTACAAGATTAAGAAGGAAGGTTATCTCTTAAGGAGCTGTGACCCTTTATGAGATTAAGAAAGAATGTGATCTCCAAAGGAGATCGGGTTAATGCAGATGCAACACACACACACACACACACACACACACACACACAAACACACACACACGCGAGGAGGGAGGAAGCCCAGATGAGCAAAGAAAAATTTTATGTTTATGTTTCTTGTCTTACCATAAAGTTTGAATTTTATTTCATCACAGGAGTATGCTGCAGATGGCTTGCTTCTCAGGGTGTCTGAAGAGCACAGTGTTAAACTGAGAGCTAGCTCCGTGCTGGGGGAGGGGGTCCGGTGAGCCCTGCCCCTCCTGCTGGGGCCCCAGTTCCGCAGTTTCCCATGTGCCACAGTGCAGGAGAGAAGCACTGGGCATCCCTCTTGTCCAGTCATTGGCTATATCCCTACTGTAACCGAAAGTGGGGTCTGGCTGCTCGCCGCTCAAAAGCCAATAAAGAGGCCAGGCTGGTGGAAAGGAGAGTTTGCTTTACTTTGGATGCCGGCAACCCGGGGGGTGGGGGGGAGGGTGGACACCTGTCCAAAGACTGAATTCCGCCCCCCCCCCCCCCCCCCCCCCCACCCATCAGGAGGCAAGAGCTTTTGTAGACCGAGGGAGGGGGCTACCTGCAGAAACAGCACAATCAGCTCGGACACTCATCTTTTTTTTTTTTTTTTTTGCGGTACGCAGGCCTCTCACCGTTGTGGCCTCTCCCATGCGGAGCACAGGCTCCGGACGCGCAGGCTCAGCGGCCATGGCTCACGGGCCCAGCCGCTCCGCGGCATGTGGGATCCTCCCGGACCAGGGCACGAACCTGCGGACACTCATCTTGAAATTAGCCATGAGGTGGTCTGATCAGTATCATCTTGATTGTTTTAAGTACAGTTAGTCTTCATTTCCAGGGTTGGTTTGTTCCCATTTCCTTGAGGCCATTTCTCAGAATTGTGGCAGCTTGTGTCATGGCTACAGCCTGGTCATCATGTAGTTCACTTCTTCCACCTTGTGGAGGTTTCAGTGTCTATAAGACAGCTCACAGGATATGGCTCAGAATATTATCTATAGCCCTTGAGGAGGAACTAAAGGTCCTTGACTTTGCTTAATGACTAAATTATTATTATTTGGTCTCCTTCGACTGTTTTCCTTTGTTTCTGCATTTTCTCATTTCTCTGATAAAATTTATTCTTTGGCTAAAGTTTTTCCACAGACAAAAGGCAGGCAGAGGACATGGGGGCCAGGGAACATAGGGTCCTGCTCCGTTTCACTATGGCCCCAGGACCTGGTCTCCAGCCCCCACCATTCCCCCTGCTCAGTCTGGTGGACCACACTCACTGCTTTGGGGAACATTGCCTTTAGCAGAGCTTCCCAAATACCTGCCAACAGAGTGAGGCCTACTTGGGGTTCTTTAGGATCCCAAGCTGGGGAGCACGTTACACACACAGATCCCAGCCCACTGCAGAGCTGTGATCCTCAGCCTTGATCATACCCTGATACTCAGTGGACTTGATGCCTAGGTCTTCCCCCCGCCGCCGCGGAGATTCTGACTGAGTCGATCTGGGGGTCCCCCTGGGTGTTGGGATGATCCTTGTGTGCAGCTGAGATTGAGCACCGCTGCTCCGATGGTTGATTCCGTAAGGTTGAGGTGGCCCTAGGAATCTCTATTTTTAAGAACCTGCCTGTGTGATTTTCAGGTGCTGCCGTGTTTGCAAACCTCTGATGTGGAACTCACTTTCTTCTAATTTGCTTTGAAGAGTGTCCCAGATTCTTCTAATGGGACCATCTGCGTCACGTGTGGGAGCTGCTTCACAGCTTGTCCCGGAAACTTTGCATCAATTCTCCCATACAAGAAAGGGAGCAGGGGTCCCTGCTCAGCCTCTCCTGGCCCCTGTCTCAGTTGACAGGATTTCTCTCCTTGCCAGGCACCAGCATTCTTGCCCACCCAGTCATGTTCATTTCTCAAAGGTTCTGGGCAGTGTGGTCAGCTCCTCTGAGCTGGTGGTCACCTGGAGCTCGGGACCCTTGAACTCTTGAACACCAACCAGCCGTGTTGGCAGTCCAAGGACCTTAGGGAACCCTCACTTCCATCCTCTCTCCCCAGGTGTTAGTAGACTGTGTTATCATGACAGGTGAGCTGGGTGGAGGGACTGCTTCCCCCCTCCTCTGGGACAGGCTGTTAAACCTCTTTCTCAGTGTTACCTCCTGCCCTGAAGTAGCTACGTCTGCTGTCTCCCAGCCTGATAGCCTTTTCTGCGTCTGTGGCTACTGTGTGTTCTTCTGGATACTTGGTGCACATGTTGGGTGATAGGCTTGGAGTCTGGGAACCTGAGTTCTGGACTGTGTGCCCCAGGTCATATCACAGCCCCCGCCCCCCCAATCCTCTCCCCTTCGCTCTGAGTTTTCTGGCGTCTCTCTGCTCCTCCCACCCCAATCTCTGTCCCTGCCCAAGTGCTGCACCCTCCGCCCAGAGCTGCCATCCATTGTTCTCCTTGGGAATGGATGCATCATGGGAAATCACTCTGTCTGGGCCCAAGGAGGAAGGAAAGAGGGACGGGAATGGAATGGGCGGGTGATGGAAAAAGTGACTGCCAACCGTTCCCTGGACTTGGGCCTGGAAGGCAGCTCAGTGTGGTTGCCGTGGTGACAGTCAGACAAGCACACTGCTGTTTCCCTGTCCTACGAACTGAAGAGTACTTGTTGTGCCTTTTCCTGCCTGCTCTGATAGCCTCAGGCCCACATCTGGGATGGGGTACAGACCCCCAGGTTTAACTCTCATGCCTCAGTTTCCCAGCCTGACCAAAGGAAGATAAAGAGAATGTGCTGGGTATTCCATTAGCCCCTGCAGACCTTCCAACCTTCCCCACCTGCTCTGCACCTTAGCAGGCTGACCTTGGTGGACCCCTTCTCCTGGGCTCCCTTGTCTTCTGGCTTCGGGTCAGCACCCCAGGGGGCTTCATCATCCTGGCTGGTTTCTCTCAACCCCACCTGCCCCTCTGTGATTAGCCCCTCCACCAAACTCTCCCTGATCACCCCTTTCTCTCTGTTTGCTGCTGGGGGCCTGACTACTGGAGAAGTCATCTTAACAAGGAGGAAGGAAGGAGGGCAGTCACTTAAGGACTCCTTTCTCTGCCGTGAGGCTCTGGCAGGGTGGCTATGTAGGTGGGGTAGCCTTGTAGGTGTAATCTGAGATGTACCCAGAAGGCGGCCCTGCCCAGAAATAGCCAGGCTGAAATCCTAAAGTTCAAGGGTCACTCTCTGGGTTAAAAAGTTTCTCTGTAAAGATCCCACATTCCCTGGGAAGGTGAGTACATTCCCTTCATTCATTTCTCGACATGTCTTAGTTTTAGCAGGTAAGAAGCTTGACCGTAAGCTTCAAAATGCAAGGACTGTGGCTGTCTTCCTTGTGTAGACATGGGTGGCATGGGGCCTGGTGAAGAGTAGGCTTAAAATAATATCTGCTGAATAAATTCATTGCCCTTTCAATACATGTTTCTTGAGCACCTACTGTGTTCCAGGTGTTCTAGGTTCTTGGGATACATTAATGAACAAAACCAGTAAAGATCCCCCTCAAACAGAGAGACAGACAGTACATTTTATATACATACATATACATATATGTATGTGTGCGTGTGGCCAAAGCCTGCCACCCTCTCTGGAGAACCCCACTGAACCCCACAACCCCACCCAGACTTCCTCTGTCCCCACTGCTCTAAGCAGACCAATCTCTTTGTGTTTCCTTGGTATATCTGATCTCAGAGACAGTTGACAAGGAAAACAGAGGCTCCTAACAAATGAGACAATTGTGGATCCTAGGAGTTTTTAAAGTGGATATTTTATAATAAACCCCACATTGGTGAAATTTAATGCAGTGTAACGGACTGTATTTAAAACACTCAGGTACTGGGACTTCCCTGGTGGTCCAGTGGTTAAGAATTTGCACTTCCACTGTAGCGGGTGCAGGTTCGACCCCTGGTTGGGGAACTAAGATCCTGCATGCCAAGTGGCCACACAAACAAAAAACCAAACCCAAACAAAACAAACCCCAAAAAAACCAATCCAGGATGGAGATATAGGAGACTCCTGAACTCACCTTCTCCCACAAATAGAGCAAATCTATAGTGACATGTGGAGAAATTCCACCAAAAAATCCAGAAATCAGCTGAGTGGCTTCTACACATTGGATGAATGAGAAAATATTCAAATCAAAATGCGTAGGAAGGGCTGAGACACACTGGCCATAAACCCCAACCTACACAACGCCATGCCGTCAGGAGGGAACTCAAATCCCAGTGTCCGCCTGAGGAGCCAAGGCTTTGGATGTAATATCTTGCACCCCAACTTTTAAGACTTCCACCTTTGGGGGATGGACCCCCCAAAACACCTAGCTCTGAAAGTCAACGGGACTTGCATCCATGGGGCCCACAAGGCTATAGCAAACAAAGCAATAGTTCTTAATGAGCTACACCCCCCCCCCACCCCCAAGGCTTAGAGCAGAGG